CACGGGCCAGAGCCAGTAGGGGCCCAGAGCAGGGCCGGGGGGGGCGGGGCGGGGCCGGGCTGCTGCGTAGGCAGTGGCCTTTAAAGGGCGCCGGGCTCCACTGTCGGACCCCACTGACGGACACAGCCCTGGTGGGGCGTCTGCCCAGCTGCCACCAGGCCACAGGCCACGCGAGGGCCACGCCCCATCAAGGAGGAGCCAGCACGAGACCACGGAGGGCGGCAGGCGGCCGAGTCTCCCCGGGGCTCTGCGAGCTGGTCCCTGCCTGGGACCTCTCTACCCAGCCGACATTCTGTGCCAGGCGCCAGGCCGGGCCGAGACACAGAGATGACCGTCCTGGGCGAGACCGGTCACCGTGGCGAGCTCCCTGGGACGGAGGTGGGGGCCCAGGGCAGGGCGCCGCGGCCTCCCGCGAGGGGTCAGCAGAAAGGCGGCAGAAGGGCTCCAGGAGGGACGGCAGGTGGGGGCGCCCGGCGCGGCCAGGGCGGTGTCCCGGAGGCCGGGAGGGGCAGCTGACACCAGGCGAGGACTGGCCTGGGCAGTGCCACTGCAGCCCGGAGCCTGGGGGCGCTGGGGGCGCTCGGGGCCGGGCTGCAGGGTGCCTCTGGGCTGGCCCCTGAGGACGGGCGGGGCCTGAGACTCGCTCAGAGCCCAGGCGGTGACCAGGGCACGTGACGGGCTGTCCCGTCTCTGTGGGGCACCCGAGGCCTCGCTGGCCCCGTCCTCCCGGGCCGCTGGGCCCCGCTTAGCCTCGCGCACGGGCGCAGGCCCTGAGCCGCCTCCCAGGAGGCCAGCGGGCGCTGAGCTGGCCGTCGCCCTCTTTGCAGGAGCAGGAGAACGTGCTGCAGCGGGTGCTGCAGCTGCCGGCCGTGAGCGGCGCCCGCGAGCGCCTGCAGAAGACCTACAGCAGCACCAAGGACGCGCACCCGCTGGTGGCCTCGGTGTGCGGCGCCTACGAGCGGGGCGTGCAGGGCGCGGGCAGCCTGGCCGCCTGGGGCCTGGAGCCCGTGGTCCGCAGGCTGTCCACCCAGTGTGAGTCCCGCCCGGGCGCCCCGCTCACGGCCCGGCGCCTGCCTGCCTGCGGCCTGTCTGTCTGCCTTCGTCTGTCCGCCCGCCTCGCCCTCCCCTCGCCCTCGTCTGGGGACAGTCAGAGCG